TTATAATTTGTGTACACTAGATTTACAGGCGGATTTTACGATTAATATTTTATATATGTATACATTAAGTCACAAGAACAAGAAAATCCAAAAGAAGTCAACTAAAAAAGTAAAGCAAATAGTTTCAAACAGAGAGATCAAAAAACAAACAAAAAAACAGAGTAATTGCAATGCGATATTATGAAAAAGTAGAAAAATGCACAAAGTGAACGGAGTAGAACTATAGTAAAGCAAGTAATTGTCTCATCGTTTACGAGTTTATATACTTTAGGCATAGATACAGGTACATGCGAGGATGTATAATTAATTTATAGTAGTTCATTAATGCAGGTTAATGCTGCACACACACTTGTGCCATGATTTATTAAGCTCCCCATTAGAGCTTCTATTAAAGTACTAACTATTTGTTAATGTACGAGATGATGAAGCACTTTTTGCATTTCAAATTGATTCAGTGTCCGTCCTAGTATCTTTTAACAAACAACTTTTTCTGTTTTCTATCCATAAAAATTTGTTCGAACCTGTTTTTCCATACACATAGAAATAACAAACCAACTTAAGCAAAACCCTAGCTAAAAATTAATTGCGAATTTAGTAGGCAAGAAAACGAATTATTGTCATAGAGTATACAGATTTATCAAGCGCACCTTTGCACGAATCACATCACCCCACAGCCGCAACAACACCCACACATCACTGTATATCCCAACATCCCAATCTCACTCTCTACGAAAGGCACCAAGCACTAGAGCGTCATGTTAAGATTGTAAATAAAACTTTGGCAAATAACTGCTGCAAGAAATCAACTAATTGTAAGCCTCCTTAAGCTATAAATATTGTAAAAACGAATGCAAATCGAGATAAACTAAGTGTAAAACTAAAAAATAAACGCAAGCAAAGTATTATTAAAATATACGACTTATGTGAACTACACGAATGCCACAATTGAAAGAAAAATTCACAAGGAAATATTGTTTCGTTATTTCATTTAATGCATAAGGAGTAACCCTATTGATAGGCCCACACAAAGATTTGGCTCACAGCGTAATTTTATTCTGTACAGTTCATAAAAGTTAGCCTCGGATATAATACGGATAAATGTAGTCCTATCTCTAAAGTATGCACTCTGAATTGCCATAAGTATGCTGTGGCGTGTGAGTTTGTGTGTGTGTGCGATGTGGAACTGAGCGATACTTTTGTATCTGATCTTATAGATGAAAGAGTTCTTTAGTCCCTCTGTCACCAGACACACCCCCACAGCACGTAAAGAGCAAAGAAAATTAGGATATATTTTTACATTTTAGTGTAAAATATTGATCACAAAAAAGGAAGAGAAGGGAAAAAATGTTTTAAAGACTGGTTTTTTGTACACTTTAACTTGAATAAGCATGTATACTTACTGATTATGTAAATTAATGGAGTCAAAGGTATTTCAGTTTTCCTCTAGAATTATCCATGTGTTCGCCCCTCTCGAACGTATGTAGTTAGACTACTGGATGAGTGAGGCTTTTGAATGAGGCCAGGAGGTGGGGGGACAATTCAACGTTTCTAATTTTCAAACAGGATCTTATCGAAGCGAGATCAGGGCCACCTCAATCATTTGTCTGTCACCCTGACACAGTATAGATCGCTCTACATATTAACCAAATAATGACCAATTTTTGTGAGATTCTGTTCCGAAGGCAAACCAATTTAGATTAAGGTAAATTCTCATACTGACAACAGCAATGGTAACAAATGCTTCATCTGTATTATAACAAAAGAATCATAATATTCCGATACCAAAACTTGAGGAACTACGCATTTTAACTGTTAAACACAAGATTAGTAGTACGTAAACTATAAACTATATAAATAAATATTTATATATGTATGAATATGTAAATTTATGGTACGAGTATATGGTATGTGTACATATTGATGTATGCGTTATGCACATGACAGCCAAAGGAAAAGCTTCGTATGCAGCATTGTGAAGAAGCAAAAGATTAAAAAAGACATCACAAAAAACCAAACTGAACGAACTGCACACACTTTTCGAGCAAATGGAAACCTTTCCACGACTAAACTACCTTCACAAAAACAAAACTAAGCAAATTACAAATGAAAACTAATTGAAAAACTACAACAGATTATCTAATTGACGGTGTTATGCAATTTATAAATGTGATGAATGAATGTCAAAGTTAAGCGTAACAAAATTAAAAAAAAAAGAACAAAAAAAATACACGAAATGAAAATATTCGTGAGAAAAAGCTGAATGTAGCGAGAACTTAAGAAGGCATGCCCACGATCTTACAGCTAAGCGTATAGATGATGAATACTCCCCCTTATCCAAAGGAAGACCATAGATTTTAAGGTAATGCCCATGACCCCCCCACACACAGTAAGAGCCATAGAAGATGGGATGACATCTTTCCCAAAGCTTGTAGTGGCGCATTAAGATGGATAAACGAAAATCGCATTGAGGCATTGTCGGTTTATACATATGTATGTATGTCTTGCGATATATATATATATATATATATATATATGTACACTTAAGATAATCGTAAGTTAATGCAAAGTTGAAATGGATGCAAGCGGAAGATTATAGAGCTACTGATAAAAGATACAGAATATGATAAAGCGTAAAAATAAAGAACATCAAATTGCAACTAACATTAGCTGGGTGAGCGTGTTTCCACCGTAAATTCCACAGTCATGAGGCCGAAGTGGCTTCGAGGCAACACATCCGGGGTCCAGGATAACAGAATCCCGGTTTCCAACACAATTTTAGCCACCCACAGATTCAGCCTGGTATAAATTTGACGCTTTTTGGGCTGGCCCTGGACCTGTTGCTCGATGGGTGGCCGCACATAAGGCAAAAAGTAACCATCCCTATGACGCTCAAAATAGCTCAAAAGCTGAATTTTAATCTATGGAAGGAAAATATCCACATTAGAGCACTGAAGATACAATTAAGTTTGTTCTTTACCGACGTTAGAGGTGCTGAAGATGCGCGTAACCGTGTGACCAGCTGTGAAATGCCAAACGTATTTGGGCAAGCCCTTGTATTTTCCCGAGGCAATCTTAGCAACCTCGTGGACGGGACGCCTCTTTATGCCAGCACTGAAGCTTTTGCAAAAGTGCGAGAAGGTCTCCTAAAATTTCGACAAAATACGAGCAGCATCAGAATTAGATTGATTTTAGCAATCCAGCTTACCTTGTGCACATTAAAGCTCTGTTGTATGGAGCGTGTCGAGAGCCCTGGCTCGGTGGTGCATACTGGCTCCAGGCAACCATTGAGTAGTTCTATCACATGGTCCAGCCAAGCCGAATAGGCCAACGCTGGCTGCACGTCCGCATCCACACACAGACTTTTGCTGGCCGGCGATGACGGTCTATTGACAATCAAATCACGTTTGGCAGGAAGAGGAGGTTGCTTGCGGCTTGTAACCTCGTCTACGATTTCAGTTGCCTTGATGGTCTTCTTGACCACCGCTATCGCAGGCAGCTCAAGCGAAGGCTGTTGTTCGGCGACAACGGCTGGCATCGTCTCCGAAAAAATGGAAGGAGCGGTAAGTCGGTTGTAGGGCTCACTTGGCAGCTCGATGTCAAGATCTATCTGATTCGTGGGCTGATACTGATCCATTAGCTCGATATTGCAGTCCGTTAGCTGGATGTGCTGCTCCTCTGGCTCGGCGAACAAATCGCAGTTAGATAGGAGCTGCGAATCATTGGCATAGTGGATGAGGGCACTGCTACTGTTGCTGGTGCTGTGGTTGCTTGTGGCTGCCTGCATGCTGTCCAAGTTGAACGCGCCATCGGACAGGTCTGGCAGGGGCAGCTGCAAGATGGAACATTCGCTAAGGTATTCATTATGGTCTGGCTGCACATGTACTTACATCAAGATGATCGCCAAACACAAGTATATCCACCTGTGGATCAAACTCATCGACCATGCTCAGGCTGAGACGTAAATCCTCCTGTGTGCCCTCGCCCAGCGGCGTCTCCAGCCTGGATGGCATCCAAAAGGTCTTTAGGCTGTTGGTGAAGTTGCCATAGACTCGTTTGCCCTGCGGCGAGCTGAGTATACCTGCTAGCACCAACAGCAAGTGATCGCAAATCTCGTCCTGCATGACCAGCGAGTTATCTGGCTCCACAATTATCTTCAGCTTGCGACAGGCACAGGCATTGGTACCCTTCTTGGGGGATACGCCGTTGGCCAGGGCCGTCACATGCAGCCTAGCAGTCGGAAACGAATCCGAGCGCTCGCATTTTACCGCAAAGGTTGTTGCATTCAGACGCTGCACTGCCGGCAGCTGTTCCTGCTCCTCGGCCCACTTGTACTGCTGCCAGAGCTGCTGCTTCTGCTCCTGTCCGATATTTAAATTCCATAGTACCTCCCGCGAAACCTTGTACACCTGAGCCATGGGTATAGCTGATCCAAGCTGTCGGCAAGCCTTCACATGCTGGCAATCGATGCCGCTGGCGTTCCTGCAGGTCTCCACATGGCAGACGGCCTTGCTAGATACCACAGCAGCATTCGGCTGCAGCGATAGAGTAACATCCTGGATCACCACGAAATTTCTAGGTGTCTCTCGCGCCTTAGTGCGCAACGAACAGACGGTTGACCCGGCGCTGAGTGTCACCAGAGAAACCACATCGAGCACATTCTTGTTTTGTGGACAGGCGGCGTTGTTGCAGAGCTGCGCACGATTGCCGTTCATGACTCCACAGCTATTGCACTGGCGGACACCACGCAAGGAGCGAGGGTTTACTTTCATATTACGAAGAGTTGCTCACTTTATGGATTCATTTAATAAATATAAAACATCAGGGGTGCTCGCTTGCAATTGCTTTTCGCGTAAACTGCAGCCCTGGTTGAAAGCAGCTGATTCTCGCAACACATCTGCTGTTTTGTCTTGAAAAAAGCAAACGAATAAATGAACAGCTGTTAGAAACAGACTTTTTCCTAAGGAAAAGTTGGCAGCACTGAAGCCATATCATTTGTGTATTTATTGTTATACTTTTTAATGCGAAAATCCTAGACCATGGCGCACCCCGCTGATGCCCAGACTCGGCAACGAAAGTACCCTTTTATCCACATGCGGATCGCGGACCACACTGTGCTAGACTCCATCGAGGGACGGTACACGTGCCGGCGCTGCAGCCGCTCGCGGAAATTCTTTTGCTACAGCTGCCATATACCAGTGGGGGAGCTGGAGAAGGTGCTGCCCCGCCTAGGGCTCCCATTGCAGATTGACATCATCAAGCACAAGAAGGAGATCGATGGAAAGAGCACGGCCATACATGCTGCCGTACTGTCGCCGGAGCACGTGCGAATTCACACATTTCCCGATATTCCCGACTACCGTCTGGAGGAGGACGTGGTGCTTATCTTCCCCAGTGCCAAGAGTCTCACGGTGCCGCAGCTATTCCATCGAAATGTACAGCTGAAGATCGACGATAACTATGGCCTACCCAAAGGACATCATATGGGCACAATGCTACGCCGTCGCATGGACGAGACAGAGGTTTTGGAGACGCAACCAGAGAACATGCCTAAGCGTAGCTATACGTATGGAAACCTGCCCGTTCGGCGAGCCGTCTTTATTGACAGCACCTGGAACCAGAGTCGCGGCATCTATGCGGATGAACGGGTCAGGGGCCTGCGCACGGTCGTCCTCCAGAACCGTTTGTCGCAGTTCTGGCGTTATCAGCGTGGCAGCCCGCGTTGGTACCTGGCCACCATCGAGGCCATTCATCAGTTTGTGCTAGAAGTCCACGTAAATGCTTGGGGTCTCAATTCCGCCTACCGAGGACTAGACAACCTAGAGATAACCGAGGGCTTCCACCAAGTGGCGGCGCCGCTGACAAGAGATGCCCCGTCGGAGGATGTTCAGCGAGAGTCGCCATACAACGGACAGTACGACAATCTCTTGTATTTCTTTGCCAATATGTATGATCTCATTCACAAGTACTATGACCACAACGATCTGATATCCTATCGACGTCCGATTTAGTATGAGAAGAGAGTGTTTATTATGCGAGGGAAATACAAGTTAAACTTATGTTAGCTTGGAATAGTTATTTCTTTTTCTTTTTGCCCTCATCGCTGGATTCGCCACTCTGTGGCTTGGGCTCCGTGATGACCGGCTTCTGCCATTTCAGCGGATTGTTGCGATAGAAGGGCCATGGCGGAATGGTGATCTGATTGGGTTTCATTTTTGATTAGTACGCAATTAATAAGCTATTGTGAGCCAATGGCTTACCAGTGAGGACAACAGGAAGCCCACTCCCAGGACATAGACCGTCTGTGAGAACTGCTGCACAATCGCTCCGTAGATCAGGCCCACAACGCCGAATAATGTGATGATGAGACGTGACCAGAGCTCAGCCTTGCCTTGGCCCACAAAGTCCTGCGCAGGGCGGAGATAGTTTAGTGAAAACTAGGATACAAACTCTCTGACCATTACACCTACCATATGCGTTGGTATTTCCAGCATGTTTTATTAGGTTTTCTCCCTTGAACTTAATATTTTTCACGTAAACAAATTCGGTGAGGCACGTCAGCAGCAGTGGTTTTATCGATATACCGAATATATACCGATATACTTTTTAAAATATACCGAAAAAACCCACTTAGTCCACTTAACCCCCCCCCACCCACTAACCAAATAGTATGGTCACTAACCAATAGTATAGTATAACCAAATAATATAGTATAGTGGTTACTTTCAATTTTAGGTAAAATTATTTTCGAGTCAAACTGCAAGCACGTGGGGAAAATAACCTCTACGCCAGGTAAGTATTGGAGCAAAGCTGTAACCAAGTTACATATTACGACGTGGCGATTTCCCCCTTGAAAGGCGGGTGGCCAAATAATTCCCCTCTACCTAAGGGTAGAGCGGTAACTTAAAACCTCAAAAAAAAAAAAAAAAAATAGTATAGTGGTTAATGGTTATACTATACTATTTGGTTAGTGGTATAACTATACTATTTAGATAGTGACTTAACCCCACCATATTTAAACAAATTTTCAAGCAAAAAAAAAGACCGCTGGTAATAACAAATAGGAGTTAATACCACTCGTTAGTGCAGGCGCCAATCAAAGACGGAACCAGCATCCGGAACCAGACTCAGTTCTAGCACTGTTTTGAGCTAATTGCTATCCCTGTTTAATATGTCAAAAATAAAATTAGTTTTAATCCACAGGGTCACCGACAGTCCTCTAAACATCTGAAGATCGGAAAGAGAGATTCACTTATTTGTTCATTTGGACTCTTTGTCAATATAAACCAATTAAGAAGAAATCATAAAAAGTCGATTCAGGTTACTTTAAAATATATTTTAGTATTTAGTATAAACTTGATGTTCATACAATTATTTGTACAATGTGTTTATGGCGGCTTAAGCCGTGGACGTTGCAGTATGTTTTCAACTAATAAATAAGTGGCGTTTGGGTAAAACTATGTTTAAATATGTATAATGGTGCGAATGTGCGTTGGGAATGGCTCCGTTTTTGATTTGTTATGCGTCATGTTGATCGCTGTTGATACTTCTTATCAGCTCTTTAGCTGTGCTCCTCTTCTCAAACCCTGGCAGCCCTGGTGCGTCGCAGGTGGACAATGTTGATCACACAAATGGACAGCCAGGCGAAAAGGGCCAGCCAGGAAAAGATCAATGTGAAGTACAGACAGGCAGCGGTGTTGATGCGTCCATAGCGACGCCGCTCATAGGAGATGCTTTCCACTAGAAAGTCCATGAAATCGAATATGGCTGCGCACGACAGACGCGACTTGAGCACGGGCACAATATTTCCCACCCCCTGGATCTCCTTCAGCAAAGACTCGCGGTACTGCTTGCATGTCACCTCGAATCCATCCGTAAATACTGAGGCGTAGATCAGCTGATAGATGGCCATGATCACCGAAATGACGGTGGCAGGAAGCCCTGAAAAAAGGACAAATCTAGTGGATATATTCGTTTTGGGATCCGTTGTTGGCAAAGCACTCACAGTAGTAGGGGGAGAGACCATCGGGAGTTAGATCGGATTCAGTGGTGACTACAATCATGTCGCCGGATCTATATAGGGGGTTGGGCGGCACAGAACGAAACGAAATTTTAAGAAACTAATTGAAATGGTTGAAAAGCATTAGTTATTCGCCTGGCAGAAGCGTATACGGCATCTTCCATTAGCATAAGACCTAATTAGTGGATTGTTTGGAGCTATTGCTGCCGATTAACCCACTTGACCCCCAGACACACTCGAATTAGAACACTCACCGCTGCCGAATGGTGCTGGTGCCCACTTTGCGCTGACCCTTCCCAATGCACATCCGATAGCCATGGTAGATACCCAACACCACTGCGAAGATCAGGGGCAGCAGCAGTCCGTAGGTGGCATAGTGGCAGTAGGCGATGTTCCCGCCCTCAAAGCTGTTGTAGGTGCTGCGGCTATGCAGCACGCAGCCGCAGTTTGTGTCAGGACAGGCGTTCAGTACGTAACGCCAATGTGACCATGCCACCGCCGAGGTGATGCAGCAGATCACAGAGGACACGATCGCAAAAGGATAAAGATAGGAGAGCGAACGCTCCGCTGAGTACGACATCTTGGGTCTGGGCCTGATCGTGAATTAAGCTAATTTAAGTTGCTTCAAGAAATCTTGCTGTAATTCAAATTTGTTTATGTGGAATGCAAAGCATTGCCCGCACACATACACAAGTCTCTCTCACGCTCTCTTGGGCGTCGCACGAACACACACACAATGACTCAAACGCGCACTGCACCCAAATATAAACATAAAATCAATTGTAATGTTTGGATTATTAAGCCCGATGCGCGATGAGTTTTTTTAATGGATTAATTAACTTGATATTCCGGCATTAAAATTGTGTGTTTCGGTTTTTTGGTGTGGTTTTTTGATTCCAACTTCTCATACAACTTTGGTACAAAACGTTGCGTTTCTGGCTTACAGTGTGTCCCTCATAAAAATACTGGAATAGACGCGATCATGTTCAAACTATACCGTAAATATACCGATGAAAATAAAATGCCTAAATTTTGATTTTCGAATCAAGATTAAGAGCTAGATAGGACTCTCAGCGATAAAACTAAAATTTTATTTGACTCATTAATCACGTCTCAACAAATTATTTTATTTAGATGACACCTTTCTATTGGGTAGAATATAAGAAAGGTGAGAAAAATATCTCGGATTTCTTGTTTATATTTTCATCGATGTAGACATCGATGATTTTCAATATTTCTTGGCTTGTGATTGCCGTACACAAAATCGAAGTTTCTGCACCGTCCTGATCAATGCGGACAACATGTCCACCTGTATTCCATCCCTATTTCTACCCAAGGGTAGAGCGGTAACATAAAACCTCAAACAAAAAAAAAACCTAAATCACCAAACCAGAGACGGCCATCGTTCCTCACTTACCTCTTGGTACGATCGGGTCAAGTGGAAACATTTTGTCAAAAAAGGTTCGCGAAAGTTTAAAAACAACATCCACCCACATTTCAGTGAAATTCTCCCTCTGGGAGTAGTTGGTCTAAGGCTCGTACTCTGAGTATTCAACTTCGGCAAAATGAAGCGCCCCCATCTCCTCGTATGTGGTGCCATCACCCGAATAGCCTTTGCGCCAATATGGGGGAGGGGGATCGTCTGGTGGGCTTGGACTGGGGTACTTCCCTCAACCCTCGTCACCAGCACAATCAGAAGTATAGCCACACAGAGACTTCCGATTGGCAGTGTTTAGTCCATATTTGGCTGTTTTCGCTTTCTGGAGCAAATCGCCATATTTTTAGTCACTGAATCTTTGGATTCCATAATTTTACAATCTGATATTATGTCTTGGGTTATTTTCTTTATATACTGCCGACCTCCAATTTCTTTCTTTCATTTAGCGAATACCAAAAAAGCAAACTTATGTATTAATACCAAACGACGACTAATAGCTAATTATCCGTGGGAAAATTATCAAATGACTTCTTCATGCTCGTACGCAACACTCACCAAACCTATAGGCAGAGCATCCTTGGATGCAATTAACATTTAATTTTGATATTGAAATTTTTCAAAAGTTCTTAATATCAAATGAGGTGCAAGTTTAGGTTTATTTATATTAAAACCTAGTATAACAGTTAAGTCAAAAACTACTTAGCTCTTATTCAATGGATCACGTCAAGGGGGCCTGCCCGCACAATGTAATGGTATCTTCATTGCACCATTGTCCATTACTGTTCTTACGTCTTTCCTTACGTGGTTTCAGCTCGCGCGCTAAATTCAAATTTTACAGCACCCAAACGCTACAATTCGAACCGGATTGCAATGAAAGAAGTGTGTGTGTGTGTGTGCCACCACTCGAAACTGCATGGCCGTGGGCCAATTGTCAACAAAAACATTTCAGAATCGGCCGGCTGTAACAAATGATGCTTGCAGTCGCCATGCTCTATGATCAGACCGTTCCTCCATCACCTCCATTCCCCCATTCCGACCAGGCAGATTTTTGGCAAAACCATTTTCCGCGGACGCCTGCATTTTCTCAGTTACCAGAGAGTTGTGGAGCAGTCCACTACGCGAAACACGCCTCAATGTAAATACGGATCCCTGCAGCAGCCACATTGCCAGTAATTTTCTGTCAAAGTCAATTCAACAAAAGTGTAAACACAGTTGCAAATTGCCAAGTAATTCCCTCCCACATTGTGGCGAAGGTAACGAAATTACGGTGATTGCTGAACTGCAGACTGCAGCGCCGATTCATCTGCAGAGCCCACAAAACCAACTATAAATAGACCACTGCCCAAAGGGTACGACAAATTGCATGTGTATTCTCAAAAAGAACGAGAAATTTGCATAATTTGCCATAGTTGAGTGCAGTGCAGTGGGAAAATTGTCTAATTTGATAACTGAAAATTGCGGTAAAAAGTAATTAATTAATGAGAGCGTGCCGCACTTTTGCTACATGTTCGTTTCGTTTATTTATAAAGTACCTAACAACTTTGTTTAATCTTTTAACATCATGGGTAACTATATGTCTTATCTTTCTTAGAGAAAATCATATTCTCTATATTGTACAGTACTTTCAAGCCTAACACTGCCTGACGTAACTCTTAAAAAGCGTTTCCTCAAAATACCTAAATGTACCTAAATATATGTACATATGTATGTACGAATGTTTTTGCTTAATTAATTAATATTTGGCCTACTCTACTTATAGACGCATACAATACAACCGACATAAACCTTCCACGGCTTTATATAGAACTTCGCTGTAGAACAAGACATAGGAAATAGAACCGGAAACAGAAATACAAAGAACCACACTCAGACACTTTCCCAGCTGATCCATCCTAGTTATAGCTGAAGTTAAGTTAACCCGATGGATAATTGGAATGTTTTGGCAGCGCAAACAACAGCACAAGCCATTGGACGCGATGACACGGTAGTGAAGACGCGGCTGGTAAGTGGCGTGGGCTGACAGTAAACAAATCAAAACAAACCGATCGATTGTTCATACATATATACATGCATAAACGATCTGCTCTACTCTACTCTACAGTATATGGTATGTATGTATGTATAGAGAAAAGTTAGCAGGCCCCAAACAAACGCATTCCTATGTACTCGTCTGCAGCCAAAACTATGTAGGTGTTGGTGCATGAGTGCGTAAATGAGCAACTGGGTGTTGTCTGGGGGGCATCCTCGCTAGAGCTGTTTCGCCTGAGCCAATTTCTCCTCTCTCTCCCTCGCTGTCTTACTCTCTCTCTCTCTCTCTCTCTCTGTGGCTCTGTGCGATCGTTACTAGCACTCATGTATAGACTATTAATAGGAACCCGCTGTCGGTGGTGGCGCAGGTTCTCTTGAGCCGATTGCCTGACGGGTCTTTTGGAGATTTCGATTGTGGTTCCTTCTCGCAGTAGCGCGAAAGTAGCTCGGTCCGACGGACTCGCAATAGACAGAAAAACAACAGACCACGTAGTGTTCATCCGCGCATATAATATATTTTATATAAGCAAGTGACAACCTATATACCTGAGCAATGGATATATCCACGGATATCTGGGGTCAGCTGGCCGTCGAGGCATCCCAAGTCTATCTGTCCGATGGCACAGTTCGCAGTCCCTTTGCTGATACGGTACAATGAGTTTGGGGAGAATTTGTCACCTTATCCGCTCTTTCTTTATCTATTGTAAGACTGTGCAACAAAACGGACACCTTTTTTCCTATGTATCTAATTCACCCTGTTTGGGCTGCAACTCGAAGTTGTTCTGTCACATGCCAGCAGAATTACAGAAGATTATCTATGGGTCAAATGTTTGTTGTCAAGTTTATTTAGATCGATAAAGAGAGATGTAAATAGAGAGTGCAATTATTGAAATAACTAAAACATATTTTATACCAAACCTGTGACAGACCATCGAGAAGCTGCCCGATAAGGTGCTGCTGCACATCTTTTCGTATCTGTCGCACAGAGAGATCTGTCGCCTGGCTCGGATTTGTCGTCGCTGGCGTCAGATTGCATATGACACGCGACTCTGGAAGAATGTGTCCCTCAGGCCGGAGGTGTCGGGTTTACACGTGGGCTCCCTGGAGATGCTCCTCCAGCTGATATCGGTAAGATTCGGCCCGACTCTGCGGTACATTGAACTGCCCATCGAGCTGATCACACACACGGTCCTCCACGAACTCTCCGGCAAGTGTCCCAATTTGACGCACATGCTGCTGGACTTCTCCACGGGTAGGTCAAGCAAGTGGCGAGGGACTGACTCAACTCTTTTATCCACCTTTTAGCCATGCAGCTTCACGATTTCAGCGAGATGCAGACATTCCCCACCAAGCTGAGGTATATGTGCATCTGTTTGTCTGAGGTCATCTTTATGGAAGGTTTTATGCGAAAAATATACAACTTCATCAATGGCCTGGAGGTGCTCCACCTTATTGGCAGCTACGAGAAGTGCGAGGAGGATGAGGAGGAGATCTACGAGGTCATCAATGTGCACAAGCTCAAGTCTGCGACGCCCAATCTGCGCGTAATCAATCTGTACGGTATCAATTTCATTGATGACTCCCACATCGATGCCTTCAGTTCCAACTGCATCCAGCTGGAGTGCCTGGCCGTCAACTTTTGCAACAAGGTCACCGGATCCACCCTCAAGACCCTCATCCAGCGCTCCAAGCGGCTGACCTGTCTGCTCATGAATGGCACCAGCCTCAAGTCAGAGTTTGTGATGCAGGCGGAGTGGGACAAGTGCGCCCTCCAGGAGCTAGATATCACCGCCACGGATCTCTCGACTGAGTGCCTGGTGGACATGCTGACGCGTATACCCAGCCTGAAGTTCCTCTCAGCCGGACAGATCAATGGCTTCAACGACAGCGTTCTCAAGCTCTGGATGGAGTCGGGAAATACCAGGTGATACCACAGTAGTGAAATCACAGTAGTTGCTCGTGACGACGCTCATGCGATGTTTCCATCTTAGACCTCTCATTTCTCTGGACATGGACTCCTCGGACAACATCACCGATGAGGGATTGCTAAAGTTCCTGCAGCGTCACGGCCATCAGCTCAGTGCTTGCTGCCTTTCGGGCATGCCACACATCACGGATCAGCTGTGGATGAGCATCCTACCTCTGCTGGGCAACTGCAAGTATGAAAATCTCAATATCCATCCAATAAAATGTACAGGGCCTCATGCTATTTCGGTCGCCTTCCAGAATCATTGTCATGGGTACGGCGGAGAAGCTCGGGGTGAATATCCATGTGGATCAGCTTATGGACACCATTGCTTCCAACTGCGGCAACCTGGAGCGTCTCGAACTGCGCTGGGATCCTGACAATCTCCGTTTCTCAGACAAGAGCCAAAAGGCCATCGATATTTTGCGCGTCAAGTGCCTTAAATTGCGCTGCATGGTTCTCAGGTGAGTTCAAGGTCTTCTCTTGACACCCTGAATGACTCTCACCCACTAATTCTGTCCACAGCGATGGCCGCTACTATGAGACCGTCAAGGCAAACTTCGAGCGTGCCGATCGCATCACTGTAGTTCGCACCACGACCTGCTGCCGGGTCTCTCCCTATCATCTACTGCGCAACTACAACGATTTGATCTTTAACTGAAGTGCAGTGGACAGGATATGATCCATCTATGTTAATTATTTTGTGCAAGTCCTAGTCATGTCTCCATCTTATGGCTGTAAAACACACGGTAGTTGTGTTGGAGGTGGCTCTCCAAAGGATATTTCTAGTCAAAAAAGTCAATAGTTTCTGTGTGTGTTTTTCGCTTATATTATATTGTGTTTTGTTGTTATCTGTATTTTCCGCTTCTTTCTTTTGATTAAATTAAATCTAAATAAACGTACATAGGTAATTGAAACAAAAACAAGAACAAAATATTTGCTTATTCAACTTTTCTTTTCGTAATTACAAAATTATACAACGTAAGTTTTGCGTTTTCCTCAAACTTTCTCTCTGTGCTGATATCTTCGTTCGCACTCCTGCTCTCTTGGCTTACCTCGTTCGCGTTTTTAACTAACTTTTACTTGGTAACTTGATTAAATCATTTTCAGACTTCCCCACATACATAAATGTTATTTCTTTACTGATGGTTTTGTTTTTTTGTTTGTTTTTTTTTACACTGTTTTATCCGCTGCAGAACTTAGGTCTAACGTTTTTTTGTGTGTTTCAACATTTTTGGATCAACTTTTTACCATAAACTTAACGTACATAGATCTCTAATTCCAATTTCGATCTCGTCTCGATCAGCTCTCTATTATATGCATGGTATATAATTTAGTTAAGCATGGCTGTATGTTTTTATATATATATGTGTTTATGTGTGTGTGGGTGTGCTTATGTCGTGTGTGTGTGGATCAAAAGTGTGTGTGTGTGTGTGTGTGCTTGTGTTATAGGAATAGATTGCTTTTAAACGTATGAAGAAGCTCTTCGTCACTAGACAGATTCGCGTTTTTTTTTTACATAAGTACACTAACACACAGAACAATTCAAGTGGTAGATAGATAGACAGATAGATAGAAGGTACGCGAGCAATCCACGATCCGATCAATCCCTTATCGCTCACTGTTGGTCCTGGGTC